GATGCTCGCGAGATGGCTCGCGATACTCTTTCCAAGATTGCGGTCATTCTGGGCCCCGAAAGGTTTGAGTTCATCCTCAAGGAACTGCGCGGCGCTCTTAGCAAGGGTCCCCAGCTGCACGTCTTGTCTTATACCCTTCATTCCATGCTGTTGGCTGTCATCCCCACTTTCAAGCAAGGCGATCTCGACTACTGCCTCTCTGCCATCATGGCGGTCATCATGGATGATATTTTTGGTGCTACGGGTCAAGAGAAGGATGCTGAGGATTATGTCAGCAAAATGAAGGAGGTGAAAAGCAGCAAGAGTCAAGACTCCATGGAGCTGATTGCCAAGACGGCGTCTATCACACGCCTCAGCGACCTTACCATGCCCTTGCAGGCGCTGTTGCTCGAGAAGCTTGATATTAGGACAGCTCGCAAGATAGACGAGCTTCTTACCCGCATCACCAAGGGCCTCTTGGAGAACCCAGCGGCTGCCTCACAAGAGATCCTTGTGTTCTGCTATGAAGTCATGCAGGAAGTGTACAAGGCTCAGAAGCCAGAGGATGCGCCCAAGATGGATCCCCGCCTGAAGAGATACATCGTCCAGAAGGCCGCCAAGAGGGCTGATGGAGGGATTACCGCCAAGTATACGTTTAAGCTCATCAAATTCGCCATCGACATCCTTCGTGCTGTTCTCAAGAAGCACGATAACCTCCGCACAGCCAACAACATTGCCGGATTCATGCCTCTGCTCGGTGATGCTGTCTTGTCGATCGAGGAAGAAGTCAAGGTTGCGGCCTTCAGGCTGCTCACCGTCATCGCCAAGGTTCCCTTCAAGAATGGCGAATCCACTGCCCTCTACAAGGTGGCTATCAAGGAAGGCATCAAGTCCATGTCCCTGTCTCCCTCAACCGCGTCTGAGCTTGCGCAGGCAGCGTTGAAGCTCATCTCTGTCGTCCTCAGAGACAGGCGTGAGATTCCCATCAAGGAGGCCGCCCTCGATATGCTGCTTAGCAAGTTGAAGGATGACTTGACTGAGCCTCTCTACCGCCATGTCACCTTCAACTTCCTTCGCTCAGTGCTTGATCGTAAGATGGAAACGGCCTCAGTCTATGACACTCTCGACCACGTCGGTACTATCATGATCACCAACGACGACAAGGACACTCGGGATCTGGCTCGCGGTGCTTTCTTCCAGTTCCTCCGCGAATATCCCCAGAAGAGGAACAGATGGGAAAAGCAGCTCAAGTTCATCGTGGCCAACCTTAAGTACGAGCGTGAGGGTGGCCGCTTGTCAGTCATGGAGGTTATCAATCTCTTGCTCAAAAAGACGTCTGACGACTTCATCCAGGAGGTGGCAGCGACATGCTTCATCCCCCTTGTGTTCGTCCTGGCCAATGATGACGGCGAGAAGTGCAGACTCGCTGCCGCAGAGCTGATCAAGGAAACCTTCCGCGTGGCAGACAAGGAGCGTCTTACCAAATTCATGACTCTGATGCGCAACTGGGCCGAGCAAAACGAGAACATGGCAGTGCTCAAGCTCGCAATTCAGGCATTCGGACTCTACTTTGAGGGTCGCGAACCCACCTCCAAGGACAAGAAGGATGTCAACCTTGTTGTCGACAAGATTACCAAGGTCCTCGGTGATGAAGAGACCGTTCAGTCCAACTGGGAGCTTGTCGACACCAGTCTTACCACGGTCCAGACTCTAGTCGCCAAGCATCCCCAGAAGGTCTTGTCGCCTGCCTCTGATGTCTTGTGGACCGAGGTCCGCGACACTCTTGCTCACGAGAACCCCACCGTGAAGCTCACCGCGACCAGGCTTCTCAGCATGTACCTCGCGGACTTTGCCCAGAACGCCGGCCAGCAAGCCCAAGCACCTCTTCACGGTTCCAACGGGCGCGAGCTAAGCAAGGAAGAAATCAGCGATCTCGTCCGCTTGGCACTCAGCACCTTCAACGTGCCCGAGGTTGACGAGCCGCTAGCTCACGAGGTCGTCCAGATCTTGCTCTTCCTAGGCAGCTACCTAGACGCCAAGAATACCGACGACGGGGCTGGTGCCGACGAGAAGGAAGACGAGTTGGAAGACGAGGCTGAAGACGAGGAGAATGGCATCCGCAAGAAGCACAAGAAGCCAGTTGACATGGGCTACCTCTTTTACAAGCTCACCTCCATTATCCGCAAAGAACGCGCCGCCCGGCCCGAGATGCTCGTCTCCAAGCTCTCCGCCATGGACCTGCTCGAATCCTTCTGCTCGAAATCCGAGCCCTCCACTTTGCTTGGCTCCATCAAAACCATCATCCGCCCGCTTCGCAACCTGACCGACCCGTCCATCCCTGGCCCGTTCTCCTTGAACGACGTGTTCAAGACCCGCTACGAGTTGCTCAAGACGAAGGCCCTGTCGGTCCTGGATGTGCTGCAAAGAAAGCTGGGAAGCTCAGAGTATACTAGAGCGTTGTTGGCTGTGAATGAGGATATTCGCAAGAGGAGATCTGCTAGATCTAGTAAGAGGAAAATTGAGGCGATTACGGCGCCGGAAAAGTATGGGATGGAGAAGAGGAAGAAGTTTGAAAAGAAGAAGGAGAAGAGGAAGGAAAAGGGGCGGGAGGCGAGGGATGCTAGGCACGCTTTTCATGCTAGTTAGAGGAGGGGGAGGTGATAGAGGTGTTATAGGAGGAGGAGGATCAAAAGAAATGGAATACCCGGTGGTCAGGTAATGTATGTTGTTGTTTGTTGCTGGGTCAAGGTTGGGAAAAGGTAGAATATCATCATATAATGGGAGTATTGAAGCATTTTCTGGTTGCTTATGGAAGCAACCTTTTTCAGTTGAACTTGCCTCGCAACATAAGACTACATGCTTCACTAGGTGATTTCCACACCCGCAAGATATATGATAGATCACTGCCTAAGACAAACCGTAGTGCATGACATGCCATGATTTAGGCCGAATCCCAGATGGCAGTTACGGAGCTCTTATCACTTGTCAAGAAATCAAATCGCAGTCGTGCCTCATGGTTTAGAATTACATGCTAAGCATCATCACTCCCGCCTCGTTCATTCGTCCATCAATAGCCCAGAGGTTAGGCCCTCCCTTACTCCTCCATCTTGTCCCCGCCCTCTTTCGTTTCCTCTTCCTCCTCGATGTCCTTCGCAGTCATGCGCTCCGCATACTTCTCTGCCTCCTTCCGCAAAGCCTCGGGCACCTCTTGATGACGGCCCTTCGTGGGACCGTCCGCCCCGCTGATCCAGGTCATCTCGAGCTCGAACTCCTTGTCCTTGTTATCGTCGTGGGCAACGTAGATGATGCGCGCCGCCTCCTTGACGGCCTGCTCCAGCGTCAGACTCGACTCGCCGTCGCTACTGAGGTCCAGCTTCTCGAGCTCCGCCTTGGCCGCTTGTCTGCCCTTGCCCGTCGCGGCGCCGTAGTATCCCCAGTAGAGACCCGAGGGCTCCACCATGTACAGGAACGGACCACCGTGCTTCTTGCCCTCCACCTTGCCGCCGGCGCCGACGCTGGGGCCGCTGCCGACCTCGCCTTCCACGGGCGTATCGAGTTCGCTGTCGTAGCCGCCGATGATAGCCGTGATGCCGAAAGGTCGCACAGATTGGTAGAGCGTGTAGGCTTGCATGTAACCGCCCATGCGGCCGGCTAGGTCTTTTGTCGAAATGGGCGTCTTGTAGTTGTCGCGCCAACCGCGCGCCTCGTCGCGGGCGCGGTCCACGAAGTGTCTACCGTCGGGGATCATGCCGGAGTATACCTATCAAAGACGGATTCGCAGTTTGTAGTTAGTAATCGTCGAGCTAGATCAAAAGGTAGTGAAGGTCGGGGTATGGTTTGTTCATGCGATGGCGGGGGAGGGTGGTGAAGCTGGCTCCTGCTGCCCCGCAGACGCAGACGGTCGAAACTCGTGAATGAATCCTGCCCAAACAAATAGAAAAAGAAATATATCTACGTATACGTACAATGCCCAAATGCCTGTCAACTGTCGCAATGCGCTTGTTGGCGCCTTGCTTGAGCAGCTTGGATGTGATAACCTTCTCCGCCGCCAACACGATGCCGTCCTTGCAGCGGATGCCGATCGAGGTGCTGCCATTCTCAACTGCCTTCATGGCATATTCGACTTGGAAGTTGCGACCATCGGGGGAGAAAATGGAGTTGGCAAGATCGTAGCCTGTTCCTATGGAAGTCTGTTTGTTGTCGAAGGTAACTCTGTCAGTTTCGTTTCAGGTTCGAGAAGCATGGCTTCTTGCGCCCGGCTGTGGTTTGATCGTTTCGGAGATGGATGCCCGCTAACGAGGGACTGCCGGGGCTTGTCAAGACGTACCATTATGCCTTAGATGGGAAGGTGTTGATGTGCGATGCCGGTATTTGTTTGGATCTCCGGTTTCAATAGGATGGAGAGGTTCTCGTTGCGCTAGCTCGGGCTCAAGGTGGGTTGCTCAAGAAATGGGTCGTCGGGATCGCTTTGTTTGAAGAGGTGATGGTGGTGTTGCTGGTAGCTGCTGCTGCTAATTGCTTCAGTTCAAGGTGAGCTCCATCAGGCAGCCTGGGAGCTGCGTAGCACAATTGCCCCGTAGCACCTCCCTCCTGCTCCACTGCTGTGCGGGACAGAAGCTTGGTCGTCCTGAGGCTGATTTGATGTGGCGTTTGCAACGCGTCAGCCATGGAACAGCCAGCCTTGCACCTTTCCAGCCACAACCATTTCATCACTGGCCCCGCCCACAAGTACAATCTCCAGGAACACCCGACCCCACAGGCCGTCCCAGGAAAGCGGAAACGCCTCCTTTTTTGATGTAAACAAACCGTTGTATCACCAGCATATAACGCTTTTACATTCCCACGTAAACCACGAAATGGAATACGAAGCCCGCACAAAAATAGGGAGGACTGGTACCAGCTAGTAGGGTTGACGGAGCATCAGTCTGCCATCAAATCTGACCACGACGAGAAAAAGGTTGAAATGTTATCCCAGAAATTCTCTAAGCCCAGTCTTCCTAGGTCGAATTCACCGACCTGTGCCGGGCTGGGTAGAAGCGCACCACTTCTTTAACCAGGATATTTAGTTATTACCTGAAGCAAAAAGTTGTCGGATTCAATAGAAGTAAAAGACCACCAGTTAATCCATGACCTCTACTTTCCTCAAACCAACGCACACAGCGATATATCGTAGTCAGCTGACAAACTGACCTATCTAGCAAAGACATAGTTGTACATTCCCAATCAAAATAACGCCATACATATGCCAAATGGTCTCCTCCATTCCTCCCGAACATACATAACACAAAGCATGACTCCTAGCTCAAAGCATCTCCTGATCATCCCTGTACGCCATAAATAGTCCGTACTGGTTTGCCATGGCAACTTGTTGCCTCCAGTCAACCCCCGCGTTAGCATAAACAGGGTCGGAATGCGCGGGGTTAAACGTCGGGCCACCGGTGGCAATGGCGAGGGGGCGGCAGGCATCCTTGGTGCGTTCCACGGATTCAGCAAATGCTCGACGAGCGGAGTCTTCATACTCACGGCGAGCCATATCCTCATAACCTGAAGCCATGTAGGGCTCCATTTCATGATGTGAGTCCGCCGCGATCCAACGACCGTCGCCTGCCTGAATCGGAGTCAGGGGAGTTCCATCGAGGCTCATGGTCACTTCTTGTTCAGCCGCCTGCTGCTGTTGCTGTTGCTCCCATCGGCTCTTGGCCAGGATCTCTTCCTGGCTCACGCTTGTCATACTCCAGTCTAGTGTAGGATTATCGCTACGGCTTGTAGGAGGACAATTGCGCCAAAGGTCAATCAGCCTGTAGCGCTGCGGATCGTCCACTGACTTGAAAAGCTGGAGCTGGGCACGGGACAAGTACGCTGTGTTCACATGGTGCTTTGTGAGGACAGCTTCAACCTCAGATAGTGCAGGCGGCTCTGAAGTCCTTCTGGGTGCAGGCTGTGCTGGTGGGGTGTCCTGGGTACGAACATGGGCTGAGTGGTTGTAGTGTGCCGAGATGTAGACGATCTTCGGTTCTTGATTCAGTACCTGGACTTGTGCGAGTTGCTGAACAGGCTCTAGGGACAAGTTCCGGGAAAACAGAGCGGAAAGTTCGTCTTGTGAATGCATATTGATGTGATTCTAGGAGGAATGTGAACCGTCTCGATTGTTGTTATTCTGTGATGTCATAAAAGATTGTTAGCATGTGAGACAAGAAAGATTTGTAAGATGTGACCAAAAGGTTGTGGCAGGAACAGCTTCGTTGTACATTACCTGAGACCCGGGTTGTTCTTTTCTTGTAGTCTTGACAATTCCTGTTGTTGGTTGGTTACACGGCCCTTCCTGCTGCGCAAGTTGGGCTAAGTAGATGTGGTGATATCGAGCTAGCTGGCTGAGATGCAAAGCAGGAATTGGCAGCAAGGACGAAGAGCTTGTACCGCGGCTTTGAAAACGGATGTATTCTAGTACAACTCGTTTGTATTATGGTGTCAACTATTTAAAGAAAAGTGAACGGTTCTCGGCCGACTCTTGAGATTACGAGTGACGGTGACTCGAGGGTGGAGTTTCAAGCGGTGTAGATACGATTTCCTTCCGCGGTATGGAGAGCGAACGAAGATCAAAGTGTTCGTGGTCTGGGATAAGCAACCAGGAATGGCAACGTGACTCGTCTAGTGCTTTGCCGCAGTTTCTCGGTCGTCAAACTTTGTGAAGTTTCGTAAGACTGATGCTTCCCGACTGGCTACCGTGATGTGTGTAGTTTTGAGGTGAAGAGAGATAGGGGAGCAAGATGAGGAAACAAAACTACAGATCATACGAGGGTGGGCGTGGGGAAGTTAAGACTTCTTATTTGGGCAGGCAACCTGAAGATATCCTCGTGATGATGTGAACGAAAGTGCACGCACATTTGCAGGCAAGATCAAGGAGTGTTGGGAATGGAGGGGCAGGGCAGGCACACCTGGGTTTGGGACGGCGGGGAGGCGGGGGGATGATTGCAAACTAGCGGTATTTGGGCGGCAGAGATACACCCCGTCAGGGACGCTAGGCTCATAATGCGGCACCATCAAAAATGGCCCGGCGTTCGAACAGACAAACATTGACCGTTCAACGTTCAAGAAAGCCGATCATGCTTCGACGAATTCTCGCCATGGTGTAAACTGTGTGATACCAACACCGGGCCGCAAACAGCCTCGAGGGCCGAGGCCCCCCAAAAGTGACCAAATGCAGGCCCTGGACGCCAGTGGTTGCATGAATATTGCGCATCAGGCAGCAAAAAACAGTTTCCAGCATTTTCCTGAGACAATTGAGCGCAGACGGGTTTCGAAAATGTGAAGTTCGGTGCAGTGTTTGGCGGTTGGGTTGGGCAGTCACACAGTCAGGCTGTTAGCGTCATCACTGCAATCATGCGTCCATCATGATCTGAATGAACGATATGAAACAGCGGCTATCAATCGAACCTTTCCGCCCAATCACCAAAGGGGAAGTGACGCATATGATAAATCGGGATGATAGACTACTTCCCTCTGGTCGGGGGTAGAGCAATCATACTCGACAACACTCATATTGTCTTTCGTAGGCCGTACGGAGCTTGAAATACATCGTAAAGTTCGTGCCAATAATAAACTATCATTGACGAAAGGGAACAATCGAATGTTGGGAAGGGCAAAGTAATAACATGATGAGAAGGGTCCAGAACGTGTCGCGCTGGAGATCAAGATCCCCGCTGAGGAAATGGCCCACAGGCGGGCGAGGCGGGGTCAAGGCCGGCCGGGCTCCATCGGGGTGGTAATCGTGGGTTGCAGGGATAGGCTTGACGAGCAGCCACGTGCAAGACTGTCAAAAGCTTCTAATTGGGTAGCTATGGTTAAACAAGCCACATTTACCCGCCACGGATGACGTTGGTTGGTCTCAACACTGGGACGAGGACCCCAGGGACCATCTTCACAGTTCATAGCGGGAGCAGGTCAGTCATCCCTCCCGTTTTCACGTTCAGATCGATTGACCACTGCCCACCATCCATCTCTGGACAAATAAACAGCCATCGCAAGTGAGGCAGCCAATTGAACAGCTGACCCGCCAGTTTCGAGTCAGTGTCTTGGAGAGTTTGCCCCGCGAAGAGGTTCCTTCACATGGTTCAGCGGTGTTAAGTAGTTGGCTACTTGCCTTATCCACTTTACTTTCACACCTGCAGTTGATTTGATCTATCTTATCGGGCATTCTCCTCGAAAGTCAACAGTCCCTTTCATTTATCCTATACACTTTCTTTGACTTTGACTGTGTATCATTCATACTTCTAGACTTACAAGCAGCTATTGGCCCGAGCCACCCAGACTCCATTACGATGCCTTCAACTCGCCCTCCAAATTACTGTTAGTAAAAGAGACATCAGCTTCCTTGTCCTAGCACTCGCGCGGCAAGGCGGAGAGCTCACATGGCTTCCGATAGATGCGATCCTAGGGCTTCCTCCAACCGCCTCGACAAATCAAATCCGTGATGCCTACAAACGGTATGACAGCAGCTTTCCTGCACACGACTACAGATCACCCAAATGACCACCATCAACTAACAAGGTCCTGGCAATGGCGACAGCGCCGCCCTCAAGACGCACCCAGACCGCGTAGCAGCCGATGCGCCCGACCGCGCCGAGCGCACCCGTAAGTTCCAGCTAGTCAACGACGCCTACTACACCCTCTCCGACCCTATTCGGCGCCGGGAATATGACGAGCAGCGCAAGATCTTCGGCGTCGGTGCCGACTACGTTCCACCATCGTCAGCGTCCTCCTCTTGGGGCGGCAGTGCAGCCTCAGGAGGAAGCGGTGGAATGCCAGGCGGCTTCGAGAATACCTCCGATCCCTTTGCCGAAGCGGACGCCGGTGCGGGCGGCGCCGGCACCAGCCCCGCCGGCCAAGCCTTCTCCTGGGCATGGAACTTTTTCACCAAGCAGAACCAGAGCAACAACGACAATGGCCGCGCGCAGCAGGACCGTGAGCAAACGCAAAACGAGCAGTTCGCCGATGTCTTCGAGGAGATGCTGCGCGAGGAAGGCATGGCGGAGCCTGACGGCACCAACCGACCAACGAACAAGTTCTGGAGCTTGCTAGGCGGAATCAGTGGTGCCGCGCTGGGCTTCATCGTCGCGAACGTGCCTGGTCTGTTGGCCGGCGTGGTTGCCGGGAACAGATTGGGTGCTATTAGAGACGCAAAGGGGAAGAGTGTCTATGCTGTATTTCAGGTAAGTGCCCTGGTTGTGGACCTCTCAAAACAAGATGAAGATTCGGAAGAAGACAGCGGTCTCGATCACGAATGACAACCTGTTGATGATCGGACATTAATCGGTATCACCTTTTTTCTTCTTATTGCAGGAACTCCCTCAAGACGACAAGGCGAGGCTTCTTACCCAGTTGGCGGCCAAGGTGTTCAGCCATACAGTGGGAATCTGACCAGTATCTTCGATCTAGCTGGGCGTACCGGTTGTTTTTTTTTTGGGGGGGGGGGGGGGGGTAAATATATACACAGGGTTCATGATTGGGAATGGCTAGGTTTGTAGTTTGGAGTTTTGGTTGGGCTTCAGGGTAAGTTGATGACTTACTACACATATTCGATATTGGGTTGAAGGTCGAGAAAGGAAAACAGATCGTAATACCAAGATAATCCAGATGAGGAAACGAGGGCGCTCTTACACTATACCTGAATTCTGTGTATATGGCTCCACTTTGCTAGGCTATCCGAACCTTGACGGGTAGAATTTGCATCCCACCAACTTCCCATGCTTTCACATTGATGCAAAAAATATCACGAAGGTGTCAACATGCGTACAAAGTACAAATGCCAAACTGCGAAGATAAAGTGATTGGGAAAAAAAGAAGTTTTGATGCTTGGAGCACCTTTTGATCTCCGATCCACCCAGGGGTCGAACCTGGAACCTCCTGATTCGTAGTCAGACGCTCTGCCATTGAGCCAGCGGACCTTCAAGTTTTGTTGAAATTTCAACAAGCTGTCATAACTATAAACCCCACGAAGAGTAACTGCATGAAAATGGACAAATTGCTGCAAACCAAGGCCATCACCTTGTCATTTAAGACAGCTTGTCAACTATATATGCCATCCCTAATACGATAGTCATCTTCATAACCAAGATCACAAGTCCAACCACAACCTTCTTTTATTCCTCCCATCAGGGATCAACCACCCATTTCCTTTGACGCCCAGGACGTCGTAACCATGGTGTTCACCTCTTCTTATTCTTACGCTTTCCAGCCTTGTTACCGCCCTGCTGCTTCTGGCTGCCCGTAGACTTGCCCTGTCCCAGCTCGTCTATGCTCTTCTCCAGCAGCTCAAAGTCATCGTCAGAATCGGTCGTGCTCGGAGTGGCCTTACCAGGCTCCGAGTCGTCATCATGGTCGGAGCCGCCGGCGACCTCCTCGTACTCTCCTTCGGCAAAGCCTTCTCCGTCGGCGTTGATGCGCTTCTTGGAGAACAGACGGCCGATGGTGAGGTTGTAGACGAAGAGGGGGAGACGGACGATGGCGGTGTCGGAGACGGTTGGGCGGTGGAGTTCGTTGGGCTGTTTTGCGGGTGGTTAGGTTACTTGTAATTGGGTACCTTGGTGGAAGAAATGATGGAAAACTTACGTCAAGCAAATACTCGGCCGTGTTACCCTCCTCGTCCTCTTGCTCAAGGTAGACATCACCCAGCGAATCCACGACAAGCACTTTACCGTTCTCAGCAACGACCCTCTTCTTGGCGCCCGTCGGTCCGCTACCCTGGGCAGCAGGCTGGGGTGTAGCCGAGCCCGAGGCGGAAGCGGAAGCAGAACCGGCGGCGGCTTGCTGGCCGCGGCGACCACGGCGGCTGGCGGTCTTCTGGCTGCTGTCTTTGTCCTTCTCCTTCTTGGCGTCGCGCTCCTGCATCCTGCGCATCTTACGGTTCATGGGGATGAGGTTTCCGTCTTCATCTTCCATCATCTGCGGCGGGGGCGGCGGGGGAGGAGGAGCGGCAACCGGGGCAGGGGCGGCGTCGACGCCAGGGATGTTAAGGTTCTCCCCCCAAGCGGCATGGCGGGCAAATTTGATGTAACGCTCGACGAACTCGCGCTGGCGCTTCCAGCTCATGTACAGGGCCAGGTAGTGGGCTGCGCCGCCGGCGAAGAGGAAGACGCCCGTGATGGCGGTGCCCAGGCCGGGGCGGTAACGGTTGTAGTAGTACTCGGTGCCCTTCCACGTGGGGAAGCCGTTGCTGAGGAAATGGTCGTAGCGGTCGCGCATAGGGCCGCGGAGGATGTTTGTGACGATGGACAGGCGGGCCTGGCGCTCCGAGGCGCGCTTGACGGCCGCCTTGATCTCGGCGGTCGTGGGAGGCTTGATTACCTGCGGAATCGGCTTGCCACCGGTCTGCTGCTGCTGCTTGGCTTTCTCTTTCTGCGCCTTGACCCGTTCAGCTTGGAGCTGCTGCTTGACCTTGTCCGGGTGCAGCTGACGGGACTTCTTCTTGTAGGCCTTGTTGATGTCATCGAGACTGGCGGACTTGCTGACGCCGAGGAACTCGTAGAAGGTGACGTCGGGGCCCTCATGGGCAATGAGTTCGTCGCGGACTCGGAAGATTTCGCGGTCTGTGTCGTACAAGACTATGTTAGAATGGGGAGGTCTCTTCCCTACGTCTTCGTATGGCCCTCCGCCATCATCGCCTATCCCAGCTTGTGTCGTGTAGGGATCGCCAGCACATCTGCTGGCCTAGGGAAGCTTCGAGACTGTTGGGAGAGTGGGTGACTTGCCTTCCTTGGACCACGCTGCCGTGAGCGGCGTCAATAAGGCCAAAAGGCCGAGAGAGAGCGCGGAGAATCTCATGATTGCATTATTTTCTGGCCTTGAACAGTGAGTGGCGCTCCTGTCGTGCTCAGGTAAAAGGAGGATGTAAAAATGCCAGCAGCTTGTTCCGAAACTTTCAGGGGACACCTTTTCCACGATTGGGTCAATGTAACCACTGGGTCGCATTGGCTTGGCGGGGTTGTAAGCAGAAGGCCAGCTGGCATCCAGCAGCTGCTTTGTCCGCCGTGTAAACTACAAGGACAAAGATGTGAAGGGTTAGGGTTTGAAGTGGTTAGCGAAAACGAAGCAAGTGTTTGAACCATGACTTCACTCCCTTGACACTCAGCTGTGAAAGCTTCTCTTTCAAATCTTTCTATCTCTTTTGAGTGCTAATGATTTGGCGACCTTCTGGCCAGGCTATCTGTACCAAAATGGTTTCTGTCTGGGTTACCCTTTGTGTTCAAAAGTCATAACCAGTCGCAGACATGCCCGTTAACCCTTGTACTCAGTCAACCCACGAGGTCCCGGGACGGCAAGAGTCGGGTTTTCAACCATACCTCCAAAAGTCCTGAACAAAGTCTCGGCCAAAGGTTGACTTTAACTCTGTAATGCGTCTGGTGTATTTGCGTTCATGGCCATTGTCATTAAGCGTTCTTGGGTTGACACCCCACTCCGTGAGCCATTCGATGCTTCCAAGGCTCCTAACTCTCTTGACTTGACTTCCTGCCTGCAGCCTGTTGAATTTGAGTATTGAGATTGAGATGTCTCAGTGGAGACTTACCTAGGTAGTGAAGCGGCGTTTTTCATTTGGTACCCAAGGTAGCCCAAAGTAAACAGCATGGTGAGCTTTTGGGAAAATGACCTCTTGAGCTCCTAGAGATTTCCCAAAAACGTGTATCCACAGATACAGCAAGGGCCGTGGTGTCACTACGTACTGTCTTCGATTGGGTTTCCAGCCTGAATATGCCGAGTAGACTTGAAACTCATGCTTTGATCATCAACCAAGCTGGAAGCTTCAGATGAAATCGATATTCTAGGTAAGTATCACACATCAGTATTCACTGGCGACCAAGCCTCTCCTGATTGGAATTGTTGGCGACTTACCTTGAGATTTCAAATGTGACATGGCCTGATCTCTGACCTCCAAGTAGTCGGACCCCAGAAGACCGAAAAAGTTTCAGGGACAGAAAGTATTTTTTCTTGGTCCTAATCAGGACTCAAGCGCGTCATGTCATACTCGGCTCAATCACTATTACTGCGCGATGAGAAACACGTTTTATGCATGCTATCTTGGTAATGCTGTTTAAACTTTGACTTGGAGAGTTATTTGGGATATTTCCCAGCGGGCTCGACGTATGGTTTCTTTGTTTTAATAGGGCAATATCTTCGCTCCCCTGACGCTGTATCATCTCTCCACAGGCCGTTCTTTTCCCCGCTAAACCATCGTACTCAAGAAGATCTACTTAGTCCTCACCATTGCAGTTATTTATACTGCACATGGCGATATCAACACCTTACCATCGCCTTTCCTTCTGCCAACCTACCCTTCCCTGTCTCTACTTCCTAGTCATCTTCAACCAACGGTTCGAAATTACTTTGAAACCTTTCTTCCAGTCATCATTCGCCCTAAAGATTAAGCCCTCCTTAACCCCACCATATTTTCCTGGACCAAGCTTATCAGCATACGCCAAGATTTCCTCCACGCTCTTCCCATACTTTGTAACAGGACCATACCCGAGCACAGGCACATGGGCGATGTCGAGCGTCTTGCAAAGCAGCTCGACGCTTTTGGTCGCGAGGTAATTACGGGCATCCATGTCCCAGATGCCAAAGACCACGAATTCGTGTTTCCCTTCGGGATACTGCATCGTGTTTCCCTGGATGTGAGAACCGACCAGCTCGCCTTGGATGGCAATGTTACGGTAGGGAATCTTGTGGATTTTGTCGAGAATGCCGCTCGTTTTGGCGGTCTCCCAGTAGATGTTCTTGCCGTCGTCGAAGAACTCGTGCTTGCGGTTGCAGACGCCAACCCGGCCGCGAGGAGTTTGCATGGTGGGAGGGATGGGGATACTGCCGGTGGTGGGTTTTAGGGCGGGAAAATAAGTGAGGAGATCTGGCGATTGGTTGGAGACCTTGTAGACGTGCATGGTGACGCCGTCGAGTTTCTCCGTGACTTGATAGATCCTATTTTTGGCTGCATGTGTGTTGAATACGGAGTTGCCGATGTCTTGAATCCGGTAATTGCCTGGCCTCTGGATGAGCGGCGACAACTCGCCAATGATGCCCGTAACCGGCCGCACGTGAGTCGGGTATTCCCACTTCTTGATGCCTAGGCTGTCTGCGAAGGAAAAGCACAGAAGCTCTCTCGTGGCTTCGTCCTTGCCGATTTTTTGGATGCGATTTTGGTGATGCAGTACAATCTCAGGAAAATCCGCAAGGGGAAAGATCATACCCTGCGAGTATGTGCCGGATACTTCGCGTGACCTGACGCGGAGCCCTATCTCTCCATTGAAAACATCGTTCATGCTGGACCAGAGCTCCCAATACCGATCAACGCGGGGAATGAACGAATCGATTTCCATAAAGACAACCAGATCGCCAACCTGGATAATGCATCAAGCGACAAAATTAGCTCGCTGCTTATCTGATGATCAAGCTGTTGTTTTGCGCAAATAAGCTTGCGAATACTCCTCACCTTGAAGCGATTCATCTGGGAGGTGAAGCCAACCACGGTCCAGTTGTCAACCGTGACAGCAGTGCAGTGTCCCTCAATTTTCTTCTTCGCCATAACTCTGCGCACACCCACGAGCTTGCGCTTGTAAGGCTGAATTGGTTGCACCGCGTTGGATGAGATGGCGGGGGTAGTGTTCTCCATAATCTCGAGTAGTGTTCGCAGTGCAATACCCCTTTAGAGATACGTGGAGGATGAGAAATCTGACAAAAAGTGTGAAGTAGGAGAAGAAAGGAAATCCTTCTATGACCGAGTCCACAGTTTTTCGAGATCTTTTCTTCGAAAACCCGGGAAACATTTGAGTCAAGTACCTGCGTTAAGAGTGCCCAGTGGCTGGTCCGGTCGCAGGTTCCCCAAGTTTGGGAAGATTTTGGATTGATCCTTCATCAACGGATGCCGAAGTTTGAAACTAAGATAATGAACCTAATTGGGATGAAACAAACACTCGCGCGAATTGCAGCGTTTGTGGGTGAGCTACATTCCAGTTCAAAGCCAGTTTAGCAGCGCGTCTGCTCGTTCTTCCATGGGTAGATGTAGCTACCTCTCGAATTTTCTCGACAGTGCCATGCCACTGCACTGGCTCGCCGCTGTGTTCGAGTTTTTGCCCAGCCACTGGATTTATGACGATTCAACACTTGGTGGCAACTTCCATTATTCTATCTCTACTCGGGATGATTCTAGCCATGTAACTCAATCAATAGCCTATCAAAATGGCCGCTACAATAAACTCCGCGAAGGGATCTCCCATATACAATCCCTATACCGTGCTCTTCATTCGAGAGTTGCCCACACTTCCAAGCAAATCGGCTCGGCTCAACCCCACAAGAACTCTGGCGTTGCCCAGTTACTGAATGGTAATTCGGCCGTAATGATCCATATAGGGCCTCTCGCCCGCGAAGCAAATGTAACTATTCAATCAATATGTTAGTGGCTGCCTCGCTTTAATCGGGGTGACGGTGTTCTAAGAAAACGTGTGCTTACCCCTTCCGCCCGTCATCGGTACGGTCAAACCCTCCAGGCCAGATCTCCTCCATGTCCTGGCGATGCTTGGTCATTGGCTTTTTCTCCTTTATCCGCAATTTTTCGAAGAAAACATAGGCGCCGTAGAAAACAGAAGAGGTCGCGCCCGCTCTGGCTCCCTTCATACCACGGAAGCGGGTCAACTGCGAGGTGTGAATATTGGCCGGTCGGTTAATGCCATGAAACTGCGCATGAATATCGCGGCAGAACTGCGCCATGGTAACGCCAGGCTTTTTCAGGTACGCATCAATCTTCCTCCGGATCTCATCACACGTCTCGTAAACAGGCACATCATCAGTTTCCTCGCCCTCGAGATAGACGTCACTGATATCGACTCCCGCGCTGTTACTGGCACCAGCCGCCTGGGCGGAGGAGCTTCCAGCCGCGGAACCGGCCGCGGAATCTGTCTTCTGCTTCTTGGTGGCGGATGTCTTGTTGGGGATCTTGTAACCGACAGCCTCGAGCTTCTTGAAGTACTCCCACGCGGCAGGGTAGGGGCTGTAGCCTTGACCTTTGTACGCGCCGTGCTCACGGAGAAAGCCACCGAGAGACTTGACACTCACGCCGAGCTCTCCGGCCAAAGCCGTCTTGGTGATTATGCCTGCATCAAGAGCGCGGTTGATTTTACGGCGCACTTGATCACAGTTGTCGGTGAGAGGGCCTTCGATGATGACGTCCTCAAGTTCATCGGCTGTCGGCAGGGGCCGTGGAGCCGGCGGAGTCGCGGGTGCCTTGCGCTTCCGGTTGTTGGGAGCAGGTTGGCTTGGAGTGACAGCTGGATTATAAGCAGCTTTGTCGGTAGGAGATGAGCCGGTGCCAGTGGGAACGTTCTCCTTGTTCGCAGCGGTTAAGGGATTGGGGCCATTGCCAAGGTAAGCTGACGACGGGGCATTGATTCTTGCTGCTTCGGGAGCGCCCCGAAGAACGCCCAGCTGACTCCGTGGATGGTTAGTTAGACAAGGAGGGCTCCATTCGAAACGTTTGGCCCTGTTGCAAGGGACGAAGGACGCATTCGCATCGCAAGTGTTCGCTTGAGGTCACAGAAGACCACCAGGGAAGATACCTCTATGTTGTACTTACATTGGACATAGTTTTGCTGTTGCAACAAGAATAATTGTGCCTGTTTGAGGCTCGTCGGAAACAATGTTGAAAGTGGTCTCGAACCCGCTGGATCAGGTGTGGGATTAGAAAATATTAGGAAACCGCGTCAAACGTAGTCGTACAGAGCTTTCAAGTAAATGTCGCTAGCCCACCGAATAAAGCTGAGTTGGAAGGTTTAAGGTTTGTTTGAGACACGTGAATGTTGTGTACAGGAGTTTGGAGTAGGTAAGGGTAGGGGGACGTCAGTCAATGTCAACAAAAGTTAAAGTGGGTCTTTACGTCAGTTCTTAAACTGGACATGCAGAAATAGTGGGGCACCTGCACGAGAAACCACACGAAAGCACGTGAAGGCAGCTGTCCAGTGAACTGGACCCTGCTTTCAGTTAGCACGTTAGCGTGAAATACCTGCAGAGCTGTGGTGGAATATGACGCGCACTATCTGTGTGTTAGTACACGAGCCAGTCCCGGCCAGAAAGGGATCATCAAACTAGCAGCTCAACCTAGCCACTCTGTTAGTGCAAGTCTTCAAGCGCTCGATGTCCCGACTTCCGAGTTCAGTCTCGGCCACTGCACGATAACATCAGCATACCTCTAAGACCGGAACCTGTATCGCCAAGTACGCAGCGTTTCTCATCATTTTCTTTCCCAAGCTTCCAGGTAGGAGCTCTCCAGAGTGGGTCTCGATTATATCCGGCTGGTTAGCGCGGCAGAGGTACCCAGCTGGCTGCAGGTCTTCGCTTCATTCAGCTGCTTCTCGTCGATGGTGGGTGACCTCGGGGCCCGGGGGATGCATTTCCGAACGGTTGATGCAGCGGTCGAACGTTCCATGGCGATTGCTCCTGGGGCCCAGACTCATACTTGACACCAAATCACCGCCGGTTGTCACGGACGTACTAAACCCAAGCCGTCAGGCCACATATCTCGAGCGGAAACCGCGGATGAACGCCCTGAACGCTGCCCTCCCTCACATCACAAACTGGGGTCGTGCAAACCAATGGACGAATTATGAGTGTCAATTTTACCAGGATGGGCCGCTGCCCTAGAAAAAGTTGAATCCTCAACTGGCTCCATGGGTAGTGACTATCTGTGGTTCAGGGTTCAGTCTCCGCGATCCGGTTCATCAGCAATGCTGTCACCATGGAAGTACTATCTACCGAGACATTCCCATGTACGGCCCGGTTACATTTATCTCTAGCGGTTGCCAGGGCGCTCTCCATGAGAGTTATGAAAGCCAGTACGGTGTTTAAGTCCAGATAAGTGTCTCGATAACTTGAGATTATCAGGAACCACCCGTAATGCGCCGTATCGATGATACTGTTCCTTGCCGGATCAAGTATATCGCCGTTCAGGTATCAACAACATGTCAGCTTGTTTCCCAAAATAGTTAGACGGGAAGCCCGTCATTCATATAGTCTCGCCAGATGAGCCGTCTTTTTCTGCTTGATAGGTACTCGAACGTAGATCAAGCGGGCCAACGTCATGGCACTCCGTTAACTTCACGGAGCAAGTGATGCGATAAGACATGGCAGCTCTCTTCATCACACACCTTTTTTTCTTTTCCTTACTTTTTTTTTCTATTTTTTTCTTTCACCAGTCTCGGATCACGTTTACAATGAACTCCCACATCCAACCAGTCAGCCCCTTGTCTACCCACACTGGCCAAGATGTGCTTCAGCACATGTAGTCTTTAGCTTTTAAGCTATTGACCTCCAAGGCAAGATCTCTATTACACTTTTTTTTCTCTTTTGCAAGAGATACCCTCTTCAAAACTCTTCAAATATTCCATCACGCCTGGTATACGGTTCCATATATACCTCTTAACCACGTTCACTCATCCTGATCTCATTTACACTCAGATGTGTCAGTCTTGATACTTGAGTAAGATTCCACACTTCAGAATGGCAAGTTCATTCCGCTCCTCTCCCATCCTAAACCCTACACGGATTACATGCTAACCATCCTGCCATAGCCCACTCCCGTCACACTCTCCGATGGCTTCCCAACCATAATCATCACTGCCATCTCCAATCTTGAAACCGTCAAACGAACCCGCCATAGTATCAGCGGCGCAAACGAACCACTAGACTCCATCTCCGTCCAAGCCGACAGCCTCATCCGCTCGCTTTTGCTAATCAAGGATACTTACTCCCTCCAAACCTTACGAGTAGGCGAGCAGATCTACCAGATCATGGATCTCGCCTCCCGTCTCGGCGCCTCGATGCTAGTAATTGCCGCAGACAGCAGCCGCCGGACCACAACTCCTCCTGGAGGGCTGGAGATCACGCCAGATGACTACGTCTATGGACACTTGCAGACTATGAAGGGTCAACTGCAGGATGCAAGAGATACGCTGTTTGAGCTGGTTAGGTCGGTGCTGGTAGGAGTTTCTGGGAATTCTAGAGATGGGTTTTGGGTTATTGAGGAGGATTTAGTGGGAGTGAATGAAAAGGTTGAGGGGGCTATGGGCGTTCACTTGAGGTTGTTTGCACGGTTACAGGGAAGGATAGGGAAGGGTGGAGGTGAGTCATTTGATCTTTGTTTTCTTTCAAAACTCTATCAGGCCCATTCCCCGTCATGTTTACTAACCGATTTGCTCCAATCTTGAGTAGAAGATGCTGTCATCGAACTGGACGACGCGGATATTGAACATCTCGGGTTGCCCCGAGTTTCGGGAGATGTGTAAGATGCCAGTCCTTCATTGCGCTTTTCATGAAACTGGCTGACAGCAAATCAAGGGTCGAACAGTGGCGCGCCACTGTGGGGGTTGAGACCGGCATCACTCGGGAGAGTTAGCAGTAATAAGCATTGCACCCGACGCATGATGAAAGGCCTGCTTGGTCTTCTTCTTCTTTTTTTTCATTTGTTTTTTTTTTTTTTCAAAGAAAAAATGGGCGGCGGGTGTTACAGCTGTCACGGTATGGCTATCTGGCTATGTACGTCTTATTTGTTTCATACTCTGTTAACATTTGGATACCCTGCATTCCACCTCCGTGTGGATGGGTGGCAGTCTGCTTCTTATCGCAACAACAGCAAATATCATGATCCTAAGCACACGTACTGTTTGACTGTGATACTTAACACCAGACCTACTCAATATTTCCCATTGCACAAATCCTTTGATTTGTCTTTGCTCCTCTTACTTCGTCATCCATAACCCTTAGTAAACCCCCCAAAATCATCCCATTCAGCCCAGCTGAAAACAAACATTAGATTGTCTCAGGTCTTAGATCTATCCGAGCCCCTATCAAGATCACAAGATCGTGATCAAAGCCATATTCTCGGCACTCACAACTGCCGAGAGCCATATACTGCCCCTTGTCTCATCAAGCATCCGACACCCGATCGACTCGTTTCTTTTCATCCCACGCCTTCGGTCCGAACGGGCGGCTGAAGTAAACAGTGCGAAAACTTGGCTTCGTCAAGGTCGAAAAAGGGGGGAAGGGCTTAGCTTGCTGTGTTCGCAGTTCTACAAATATCATCATCATCATCTGCTAACGTATGGTTGCGGGGCTTCCAAATATTGTGCGGACTGTAAGACATTCCCTGAGTAAGCAACTACATCGCTAGCTGTTGGCCAAACCATCTACCTCACATACACTACACTACCTATCCTTCTGCGTTTTGACTCGACGTTAAGTCTTACCTGTCTGTGGCCGGAGAAGAAAAAATGAAAAACTTCTGCTGGCCTCAATTTCGAATGTCCTGTGCGAGATTCCACGGTAGACGGATAGATACTCGCCCTGATCCGATCGTCACACACAAGGATTGTAATGCCGTGTCTCAGTTACCCCTACCCCTGGGTAGGCAACTCTGCATGAACTGGTGTTTGTGATGTGCGACGTAACCTGGGGGCTGAGGCCGGCCGAGGCTGAAAGTGGCTGCGGAGGTTGTTGATTCCCTGGATGATACTAGTTGATGGTGTGGTTTGTGCTTAGGCTATAGATAGGACACTATGGTCGCAACTGCCTGCGTTTGTCAGCCACTCCATAATTGCGACTTGAACGGAGTGGTTGTTTTCTTTGAAAATTACCTCAGATGCCTAATACTGCTTTCTAAATGCACACATCTCGTGTCTTGCGACTAAATGTTTTACGCAATGCTTTTGTCTCCTGGTATTTCTCTCTACCCACTGGCGTATCATCTCCCGTTCGTCATTGTAAATGATCGTACAAAACCGCCTATCGTACTGTGACCTTGCTTTCGTCAAAAAATAAAAAGAGAATAGCTTTAATGAATATTCCGCTGTCATGACTGTAGTTAAGTGGTATAATGTATATAGATCAAAGAAATCGAGAAGTATTGTGGAATAATGTCACCTCATCAAACCTCTAAATTCAAAAGTGCAAAGCCGGCCATAACATCGGATAATCCCCAGACAAATCTCTCAGCCTCTGCTGAGAGTCACTCGTATCCGGCCTCTTTGCACTGTTACCGTTCGTCCTCCTCCCTTGCTCCTCTGCTTCTGTAGATGCTACCCTTTTCCACGGCAGCAACCCCCCTCCCCCTATTCCCACTCCTCTTAGTGTCCCTCCTCCTCCCATTGCCGTATCATCAATACCGTGTTTATCCTTCTTATGTTTCTTCAGATTATCCAGTCGACTAAACGTCTTTGTGCAGCCAGGAACGTGGCAAGAGAGGCGCAGCCCTTTGTGCGTGTTTTTGTGTTTACGCAGATAACCTTTGAGATTTCCGCGGACGCCGCGGGGTTTCCATTGGCATTCGTCACAGATCAGGTCATTTTCGTTGCTACCGCTACATAAATTCTGACCTTGGCTTAGCTCCTGTTGTGTGCTGTTGTTGGGTCGGCAGTAGTGGATGGCGATACCGGTGGTACGGTCTGGATGTGAGTGCTGGCGCTGGAATGTTCTTGTCCCTGTCAATTGGTTTTCTGGCTGCATGGCCTCGACTAAGTCGAGACTTGGTGATCGAGTCATGGCCTGATGTGTTCCTGGTCCTGGTTCATAGTAGTGTTGATGAATTTGTGGCTCTTCAGTATCTCTGGTCCTTACGATAGTACTCAAGGCCGGTGGCATTTGAGCATGGTAACTGCTACATGTTCCAGATAGGTCGGCTGTTGATTCTTGGATGCCGCCTGTCAATGTTGGACTCCACCATGAGTGGTTATCCACTTGCAAAGCAGGAGACATACTTGTTTGAGATACTGGGACGCTGTTAGCGATTACCAAGTCGTCCAAAGTCATGGCCGCCGGCGGTGGGAGACCATCGAGTCGTAATGCCCCGGTCGGTATTGTTTGTTTCGATGTAAAGAGGTATGGCTTGGATGTGATGGTGTTGCTGTTTCCCTGAATTGGCGGCGTAGGGGATTGGTTGTGTGAGACATTCGGAGGAAACAAGTTGGTGCGGGAAGTGTTTGTGGACGCTCTCTGCGATGCTTCGACCTCGGTGGTGGACGAGGCCGCAATCGACGACACGACAGACTGCAACTCCGACATCTCCTCCGCATTGAACCCTTGCCGGAAAAGTTCTAAGCTGGCATCCATCATATCAGTCGTAGTCGGTAGCTTATGAAGAGAAAAGGAATCCCCTGGGGCAGTATGACCCAAGTATGGCATCGTAGAATGTGGCGCAGGGCATCCGATCATGGCAAAACCTTGAACTACCGATTCCGTTGAAGCTGCCGTATGTGTTCTCGTATGAAGCATATAGCCAGGTTGATTAGTTGCGATTTTCGATAATGCGTTTGCCCTGTAATTATTGTCCCGTTTACGAAACGTGAAAGTGTCCCTCATCTTGGAATCCAAACTTCGCTTCCGCTCAACGTTGACCTCCTGAAGAACCATGGGGGCAATGATCCCATCTGTAACCACTTTTTCTTCATGTCTGACCGTAGGGATCGAGGTCCCAGTCAGCCACCTTGTCCTGAAATGCTCTTGTAGGACTGGGTAGACTTACGGGCATAAACTAAGGTGGTTCCTCGGCATGGAGGCTTGTGAAAGAGTGACATTTGAAGCGTTGCTTCGCTTGATGGCCGAATAAAGCCCTCCATCATGACTAAGTTGGTGCTGAAGAGTCGACATGGAGCTGGTATGGGACGTGGCTGGGTTGATTTATATGTGCCACGGTGCATCAGCAAGAGCCCTACCAGACTGGGGAGAGAGTAGGACAAGGAGAAAAGCCTCTTGGGGGAGGTTGTGGGTTGGGGCACCTTGGTTAGGTATGTATCTTGTCGTAATATGAGCCGGGTATCAGAGGTGACATTGGAGACGGGACGCAGGGCGATGCTTGGCCAACTGCTACCCCAGGAAAGTTAGATGGGCTTGCCCGACAGAAACATCCTGGCATGGTTCCCGGGGTGGATGACCTTCTCCACGGTTCCCGCTGTCCCCGATGCATGCCTATCTGGACGAATCCACGATTACCTATTGTGTCGTAGCCTGTCGAGTTGGCGATGGGCAAACCAGGTGAACCAGGCACACAGTAAGCCAACTGAGGCCAAGGGCATGTCTGGAGGCAGGCCTGGAGATGTAAGGCAGGTAGAATGCTGTTGGGCGAGTAAGGAGGAGGAAAGCGGCTGACGTCATTCCATCTATATTCGGGACGCAATCTAAAAGCTCTTTACCCGACTGGGGCTTGGCCGGCTGAAACTGCATTTTTGCAGCCTTCAAGCCTGAAGGTGAGTTGCGGACAGAGGAGTGACCTGTTGACGGTTGGCGTTGTTGTCGATGGCTGCAACAAAGTGAGCAATTGATTCTCGCGACCAGCAACGGAAGGTTGATCCGCGCCTTGCATGGTCAAAGATACCTATCCATGGTGGTTCCTGAGGAGAAGATTGATTTGGGAATTATGGGATACATTCGTTGCTCATGCTGGAAATGATAAATCAGTGGTTGCTTGTGGAGGATTGACACATTCCGGGAATGTTCTGGGAGAAGTTGGAGGGTCCGATGTAGTTGGATAGGTATTGTTTGAACAACGGAAACGTAAAGGGAGGGGGAGGGGGGGGGTCGGAGCCAGGTACATAAGGTAATGGACAAGGACAGAGAATTGTTTGTTACATACTTGGTAAATTGAATGTATCTTTCTTGCACACATATCAAGACGGCAAGTGATACAGACCTCCTGCCGTATTGCTTACAGACACCCTGAGCCCTAGATTTCCCCACAGCAACAACGCATCCCGTCAGGGCAATTTCCCCAACCTCCATAGTTGCTTCTGAACGTTTCCTCTTCTTCCACGTCTTTTGACAATGATTTCTTCCCGACTTGAACATCACGGACAACGCCGAAATGAAGGGGATGACCAACTCCTCTTTCTGTTACGCCTTGGTAAATGGCTACTCACAGACTGAGCCCCTGATTCACCTTGTGCGGCATTGCCAAAGAAAGCAAATGTCGACATCAGAGTCTGCCCACGAGGGTATTGCTACTTTGCGGTATCATCGTCTCCTGACGCCCCTACCAAAGTTGACACCATGGAGAACCTCCGATGCCATTGCCTGGTCTACCTACCTAGCTTATCTGGCTGTTGACTCGTTGTTTCACGTTGCATCTGACCCCTCAAGATTCATCCCCGCTTCCCGGAAGAGGAAACATTCACGAGCAAGTGCAGGATAGGCTAAAACCAGGACGCTCCTTTTTCTGCAAGTCACGCTGGGTGACACGACCAGGTTAAATTGCATCGTGTTTCTCTCGTGTCTTGACATCCATTCAACCCCCAGTCGAAGCTGCATGCTCTCGGTTGTTCTACTTTCCGTCTTTTGACCTCGGTGCCAACCTCCGTCTCGAGAGATAGCTTGATTTTCTTCGCTCTCGTCTCCTCACAGTCACCTTTGGGATTTCGGGGTTGTCCATCTATCCAGATTCTTCTGGATGTCAATCTGTTGGTGCACCATCCATCAAGACATGCAGAAACTCACTCATACTCGACATGAAAACTCAAGGGTTGTCTTGGGCTAGATATGGGAGATACTGCGCCCATCATCTCTTCTGTGTGGTTACTGACAAGTGCACAGCGAACCACTCCGATATACTCATCCTTAGGCATATGGGCAACGGTAGTATAGACCTGCTCAGGTAAGCGAGTGAAGGGAGCACGAGCTCGGGCAGTCAGGACGTGAGACGTGCAGAGACAAGTGTGGGATTTGTTATGTCTATGTCAATATGATCTTGTTTGAGATCGTCCTTCGACGCTATGGAAGACCATCAGAACCGAAATCTGCTTGAAGATGTTGTTGTCCTGCATCCGATCTAGTGCAACACCACCATCACTGAGGCAGTTCCATTTCCGGTGACACACGGCCTGCGGATTTCAACAAGATACCAACAGAATGTTATCTGATGTCGAATTAATCTGCAACCTTTCTAATGCTTCTACAGCATCTGGGGTGGGCTCACTGTCTTCACACCATTGTATTGAATGAATATCGCCCAAACAGCTTGCTTCATTTGCTGAGATCAACTAGAAGAACAGCAACTGAGAACTATTTCAAACCCAAAACCCCCGTCCAGCTTGCCAGATATCTTGAACTACCGTCTCCGAGCCCCAAAGACTCCCTTCAGTGTCTCTTTGGATTAAGCCAAACAAGGATCTCATGACATCCTTTGGCCACTGAACTTCCAATAGCTGCAAGGATCTTCCACAACTGTTTAGGCAAGAACACTGCATATTCAAACAGTTCCTCCATGATCCACCAAAGAATTTTACCCACGAACCCAAGCATGTGGACGAGCGCTTTATACGAAGCCTTTCCAAATGCTCTCATCCCAGAGAATACCGCCCGAGGTAGGTCGACAAAGAGGGCTTCCAGCGCTACCAGAATCCCGTTACCGACATCCTTGAGGGTGATGTTCCGGAAGAAGCTCGACACCGCCATAACAGCCGTGTGCATAGCCGACACCACCTTCAGAAACATGAACCCCGTCGCCAAACTGACCTTCCTCAAACTCTCCCATATCCACAGGCACATCACCTTCATGGCCCTCAGTATCCCCCTGATGATCCACCACATCCGCTTAGCCAACGCCTTTGCAAACCTCGCCATCCCCTTTGGGGCATGCTTCAAGGCCTTCACCGCCCGTCCAGCAGCCTGTACTGCCCTTTTAGTTCTTTCTGGCATCTTCTTCACCTGCTTCTTGCACCACGGCCCAAACTGATGCTTATTCTTCCACGACCACTTCGCCAATTTCACGCTAGGCAAAACCACCAAGTGCTTCGGCAAGCTCCACAAAATCGCCTTGGGGATATACCACACACATAATACACAGAAGGCCCCGATGCCCTGGCAACTCCTCTTGATCCGTCGAGTGGCTACCGCGTGGTGCGTCCTCCACCGTCGGAACTCGCCGCCCCTGCGCGAGGGGAGCAGGTCAAAGATCTCCCTGTGTCCGTTGTCGGCCGCCAGGCGCAGGGCGAGCTGGCCGTCACCGGCTATGAGGGCGTCATTGGCGTGGAAATCCCTGAGGAGTAATTTTACCAAGGCAAGGTTGCCGGCTGCTGAGGCGGCCATGAGTGGCGTCCGCGCATCAGCACGCGGTTTGTTGTCTACTTTCTCCTTTTTACGCTTGGATGATGATGACGATGACGATGATGATGATGATGAGGACGAGCTCCGCTTGGAAGGAGTGCCAAAGATATTGACATCTGCGCCGAGGTTCAAGAGGGCGCACACCATGGCGCCGTCACCGGCTTCCACGGCCGCGAGGAGTGGGGTTAGGCCATACTCGTTGGGAACGTCGGGGGAGACGAAGCCGCCAGTGATGAGTTTGGTTACCAGGTCGGTCTTCTTGAAGCTGATCGCGTCGAAGAAGATGCGGATTAGCCTGCATTGCAGATCGCGCCGTTCTTTTTGGATGTATGGTGAGTTGGGGTCGTCCAGGTTAATAGGGGACGACTTGGGGGATGAGGCGGCGGAATCGACAGCGGGAGGGAGGGGGGTTGGATATTGACTGAGTGGTAGGTGGAGGTCAATGTTCATGTTGAGATCAGCTGTTAATTGGGTGCTGTTCCCGTTGATGAAGTCCATGAATCTGTCGTTATCGATTCTGGTGTAATTTGGCACGGGCGCGTCGGCGCCTTCTAACCTAGACATGATGTCTGATTAGGTGATATTTGAGCGAGATATGAGGAGGGTTGAATCGGTGATTGTTTGGTCGAGAGCTTGTATGCACTTTTATCGTCGCTGTTTGCTCGGTCAGCGAAGCAAAAGAGAAGTTCGTCCTTGGTTCTTCTGCGCGGCTGTTGGTTAGGTATATATCCCACAATCCATATGGGTCGCAAGATTTGAAAGGGTATCACAAAGAATGCAGGTTGCTCAGTCCCGATAAGGTATTTCTGACGTGTCATGATGACGGCGTCAATGAGATAGCGAGGGGCTGAAGAGATGCCTAGAGCAGTGGTCCGGAGGGATGAACTCGAGTCGCACAGCCGCAATGCCCAGCGGGCCAGCAACCAGTCTGCCTCGCCATCTTTGTCCAATTACAATTCGGATACTACTTATCCTAACAAACTACGGGTTGGTTTCACGGCAGAATGTTCCAAAGTTCAAAGGCACCTTACAAGGCTAACGAGAGAGAAGGGTGCATCGAAATATTTCGCACCGCATGTTTTCGACCGAGAACCTGAAAGACTGGGAAAACCATGCATAGACACTCGCTTACACACAGATCAAATCGAGTCCATATCTTAAATGCTCCCTCCCATCCATTGAGCCTTTCCCAAATACCTCAGTAGCTCGCTATAAAATCTCCACTTCATCCATGGAGGTGCCCTCAGCCAAATTAGCTCACAACAAGACAGCCACACAGCCCACAACACCAGCCCTCTCGGCGATCTGTCCCGTTCAAGATGTAACAAAGATACAGCGCCCTTTCAAGGGAAATTATAGCTCTACAAATGAATGAGCGGAAGACCTCAAGAGTAGGAAAAATCACTATGAGAACGGAACCATAGTGTTCATGCCAAGAAAGGGGAAATAAGAAATGTTAAGTGCGATTTGTGTGAATCAGATGTTCGTCAGGACTCGAAAAGTGTTGAATTCTACCTAGAGGTACTCTACTTAGTTCGTTAAATTTCATTTCCACAAAATGATTCAGCATGCCAACATAGTCTCTCTTTCCTATCCAGTAGGGATGGGTGGCATCATAACCATTGAACACTGGGGACCTTATAGCTTCGAAGCAGCAGCAGCTCCCCTCTTCTTCTTCTGATAAACCTGAATCTCCACCCCCTTGGTGTCCTCCCCACCACTCTTCAAGACCCTCCTTAAGATTTTCCCACTAGGGCTTTTGGGGATTTGCTTCACAAACATCACGCCTCCCATAAGCCACTTATACTTGGTTGTCCTCTTTTCCACCAAAACCCTGAGTTCATGCGCCAGTTTTTCTAGCTCCATCTTATTCTCGAGCGCCTCCGGCTTGTGCGGAACCACATATGCTCTCGGCCACTCCGTCGCCTCCGACTCGTCATACACGCCCACCACGCCCGCATCCGCCACCGACGGGCTGCTGCACAACACGGCCTCCAGCTCCGCCGGCGCAACCTGGTATGCGCGCACCTTGATCAGCTCCTTCAGCCGGTCCGTGATCCGGAGCCTTCCCTGCGCACTGATAGTGCCCACGTCGCCTGTGCGGAACCACCCATCAGCCGTCAGCGCCTCCCTCGTGACCGACATATCCGGCTCCTGACCCTTAGGGGTCCTGAACATGCCCACGGGCAGATACGCGTTAAGCAGCGTCGGCGACCGAATCAAAATCTCCCCTTCCTGCCCTATCCTCGCCGCCTTGGTTTTCCCGTCCACTAGCCCCGGAGCGGGCACATCCATATCAGCAATCATGACCTCGACGCCCCAATGCGGCACGCCCGTCTCGCCCGCCTGCTCCACCATCTCCTTCTCGCTCGTGCCGCGCTGCAGCGAGGTGCTGCACGTCTCGCTCAGTCCGTAGCCCAGCCTGACTCTGAACCCGCACCGCTTGTACACCTCCACGACCACCTCGTGTCCGAGGGGAGCGCCGCCCGTGACGGCTGCCACGATGGAGCTGAAGCCGTTCTTACCCGTCTTCGGGTCGCGCTTGGCGTATTTCTCGACTACAGGAGCCTTGGCCAACATCACGGCAATGGGCGGCGCCATGTGCAGGTACGTGATCTTCCTCTTCGGGATGGCGGCGAGCATGCCGTCGAGACTGAAGGACGGCATCACGTACACGGTGCTGCCTGTCATGATGGCGAGCAAAACGATGTTACAGAGACCGAAGACATGGTAGAAGGGTACGTAGCCAAGCCAGCGTTGCTGCCGGACCTTTGCAAGAGAGTGGTAGTCGGATGCGTCGTGCCACATGTGCGCGCCGGAGAAGTTGAGCGCGTGGTGAGAGAGGAGGACGCCCTTGGATCGGCCGGAGGTGCCGGAGGACCAGAGAATGACGGCTGTGCGAGCGGGGGAGGCGGAAGAGGGAAGGAAGGAGGAGGGGACCACTGTTGCTCGGGAAGAGCGCAGGAGGACCTTCCAGTCCTGGGTTTTGTTCGTCTTCTTACTGCTGCTGCTGCCGCTGCCGACAGAGGTAGGCGGTGACGATGACGATACAGAAGGGTAGTGGTCCTTGGCTGCATCAAAGGTGAAGATGGGCACGGCGTCAAAGAAGGCTCGGTCTCGCGGCTCCTGCTTCTCCAGCGCCTCGCGCATGGCGCCGAGACAGGCTTTGGCCGTGATGATGGCTCGTGGCCGAGAGTTTTGGAGGATCCAAGCGATTTCATCGCTCGTAAGGGCGGGCGAGACCAGCGTTGCGGTGAGTCCGGCGGCCAGCGTTCCCAGGAGCACGGGCGCAAAAGCAAGTGAGTTGGGAAGCTGGATAAGGACGATTGGGGCGATCTCGGGCCCTTGCGGGCAGGTCGGTGTTGGTGGGAGTTTGATGATATCGCTGGGGTTGAGACCCAGACTCAGCAGACCGGCGGCGAGGGCAAGGGCATCGCTTCTCATTTGGCCAAAGGTGAGTTTGCGGTCTTGTTTAGGGTGGTGATGTGTCAACTTTGAAGTCTACCGAGTGCAAGGTTCCAGACGTTAAGAAAATGCTAACCTGAAGCATTGTCCACAAAGATTGGCCTCTCATCCTCGATCTTGTCCAATACTTGAGCTTGAGGGGTGTAGTCGTTCGCAGACGAAAAGGGCTGACTGAAACACCAGTCAAAGGTATTGCTGAGGGGAACATGGCCAGGCGGTGTTCCAGAGTAAGCTTCCCTCGTGCTCGTCAAGGTCGATGGCGGTGTTGTTGACATATTGAGGAGGATCTGTCCCTGAGTCCAGCCTTGTGAACCAAGTCAAAGTGACTGTTGGTGATGATGATGGTAATGTTGATGATGATTAGATGGGAGATTGGAGACGTCCTTTCCTTGACCTTAGGTTAGAACCCGTTCCCAGATATCTGATACCTGGCTTGACTTCCATGGTCCTATCATATTTCTTGACCGAGGCAGTGGGGTTGGATGGGACGGGCGGAAAGCTGGAGCGGGACATTGGATCTGGACCCAACTGCCCCTTGGACCTGAAGGCATTCGACGGAGCGGCACAAGTACATAGTAGCAGCGGGAGAGTGTCGGTGATGGGAGCGGTTAGAGTCGACCGGGGATAAAAGCTACCCCGGAAACCCACTTCCCCCACCTCTTCGAGAACCCTCCACGCCCGCTCGGACCGAATGCCCACTTCCCATCCGGCTCCACCTCCACTCAATTCCCCAAATTCCGGGGAGGGGGGGCCAAGACCCGCGAGCCCGCCAAGGCAGGGGAAGTGCCAAGATGAAGGCACGCTGATTGTTTCAAGTGCGGGACACTCGGCAGTTGTTGATGAGAACAATTGGGGTAACGATTTCCTTTGATGGCTATAATAGTTCGGCGGAAGACGCTCCGATAATTCCGTGACAAAACCTCAATGGGCCTCTGCCATTCCTCGGCTTCGGCCTACACTACAGGATGTACAATTCCGTGTCATCTCATTTGCTGGCCTAGACGGGGCAAAGCACGGTGGATCTCGGTGGATCAAGCTGTCAAAAGAGTTCAGTTCCTGGGCGTAACCAGGGATATGCCGGTTTAATGCTATTCCAATATCAACATCATCATCGACGACAACAACAACAACAACAACAACAACAACAGACGACTTCCTAAACTTTCCTTTCTTTATAAGAAGAAAAAGAAAGGAAAAAGAAACCGTTTACTTGGCGAGAAGAAGGATACGATCAGGATATCCAGAGCGAGCAAGGAATGCGCAGGTACATAGCTTGAAGTCTACTTACCTAACGCATGTCAAGCGACCTGCAGCCCATGCTGGCGCTACAGTGAACGGCAGCAGGCATTAGCGGACTTGTCAACAAACCAAACACCCAGTCATCAACAAAGCCAGAAAAAGACGAGGACAACATCAAACAAGCGGACGAAAACGAAGGCTGTACTCCCATTTTATATACACTCGGCCTGGCATCCACAGATTCCTCGTCTTCCTCACCACGACTCACCGGGTTTGATTACCTTCCCCACCCGGCTCCCCACCGAAACCAGTTCGCCCGTCCCGGTCCTGGGCCCTTCCATCCATCATCAAAAAGACTAAAAAGGGGGGCTCCCCTCATCACGGGTACGGTAACCATACTCACTTCGACAACCTACCTAAACTGAGCTCCTACCGGAGGTACCTCCTGCGCAGATGCAGGTACATGGGCTAGCTATTATATCGTCTCATTTCAGTTCGATGGCCGCTTCATAAGCGCATCCAACCGTCGAACGCCAAAACACTGAGCCAAGCTGTCCGCTGTTCATCATCCATCTTCCTTGAGCGCCAGCGGTGCAAAGGAACATAGTTGAGGGATGCGGGAGACTGGGGAGGGAAGGTTGAAAAATAAGAATACTATAAGGGAACAGGTACCCGAGCATCACAGTCGATCCCATCTAGAACCAGGCCTCTGGCTCGGTTCGACATGGTTCAACACGTCAAGTTGTTATTCTTTCAAGCGAGCCCTTTAGCCATCGCTTCAGAGGAAGAAAAAAAAGATGAGATTATGAACGACAACTTGACTGGGTTGGAATAAAGAATCATCCCAGCTCCCAGGTGGGCAATGACCGATAAGGTCCACGCTTTTCCACGCTTGAACTGTTGATCAATGTTCGGTTATCAACAACGGTCATGTACTACCACGCTACATGCACTGGTTCACGAAATATGTAAAGACGAGCAGGGACTAGGGGAGTTGGTAAATGAGACGTGTTGGCTCCAGGTTAGGTAGTCTTGGGACTTTTTTTCGGTCAAAGGACGCTAAAAAACTAGACCCAACTGGCTGTTCCACCCAACAATTGCTCTCCATGGGCACCTAGACCTAGGCTGGGGAGACACTGTGATAGAAGCGGCGTCTTCTCCGTCTTGTCTCATTTGCCCTGTCTACAAGACACCCCTAGTACTCAATGAGACCTGGACTGTACTGTACCGAGAGGCTGAGTCGTCGGCTAGCCGTGTTGAGGCAGAATGTTTTGGGAAATCGGTTGGTACTCCAGTCAGTTGGTCAGTCGGTAAGTAGGTGTTCGGACATTTTCGGATACTTTTTGCGACTCGTGTTTGGTACGATTCAACTTTTGGATCTTTGGTTTCTCGGATTTAGAACGGGTCCTGTAAATGCCCATGAATTCTAAGACATAATGTATGTAATGGAACCCGACTGTTTGGGCGACTGGGCACAAATGATCATGAGTAAACGAAGCTAGATGGTCAGTTACGGTGAGGATTCGTGGTCTTGACATTGTATGGGAAAGAAAGATGAAAGTTCAACACACGTCCATCAGTATACTGAAAATGTCAGGACGAACGATCAACATGTATGCCTAGACCGTGAAGGATCTGAACCCCATTTGGGGGTCAAAAATGCTGGTATTCAAAAACACACTCATATAACCTACTATCAATGATAATTGCGTGCCTTCTTGCCTCAAGAGAGTCGAAATGTGATGCAGTTGCGAGCTCAGAAGCTACTGCACCGCCCCCAAGCAAGCTAAATGTAATCCTCTTCACGCTCTCCTGCAACCCACGTGCAATGCTATCAGGGAATCGAACAAACAGAAGAAATCAAATAACCAGCCCAAAGTGGAGCTGCACAAGAGCTCATAAATAACAGACACAAAGACCAAAATCAGACAAAAACAGTGGAGAAAAAAAATGAAAAGGGGTATTATGACGATGACAGATGGCCGTCCCTGAAGAACAAAAGAAAAAGAACAAGAGTTTTTCCTCCCAGAACCAAGAACAGAACTTTCGCAAAACTGCGAAGTAGAAGGACGAGTTTGCCGCCGCCGCGCTGAGCCCCAATCCAAGCGAAAATGAAGTGCTGAAGCAATTTTGATTCCTCCCAGAAACATGAATGATATCGAATCAAAAACAAAAAGCCGCCCCAGTAGTTTTTGAGCAAGTGTGTCGACGTCGAAGTCGACAATGCCGTTAGATTAAAATGAATGACCCATGGCTAACCGTGTGGTTATGGTTGTTGTCTTTTTTAGAGTTGTTGTATAAGAAGAGCCGGGGAGAGTTGGTGAAGTTTGGTTGGTCATAAAGTCATTCCGTTTGTGAAGGTGATCGTGTTGTCGTCGTTGTTTCGGCGGTTGTTGTTCAATACACCTGGCTCTTGTCGCGTCGAATCATATGTTCCCATGGGACTGCTCCCCTTTGCCTGCTCTTACACTCCCCACAGTCGACATCTCTGAGAAAAGGGTGTTAGTGTTTGGGTGTCGTAATTATAATCCTTTGGAAGGACAACTCACTTCTGCTCAAAGTGAGCTACGTTCGGTTTACACCTCTTGTGGGTGATAGTGTACTCACGACACCAGTGGGACGCTATCCAGCGCATGTGCCGGCAGGCATATTCTCTCTGGCCAAGTCATGTCGTGTTAGTTCATTGTTATGAGTCGGTAGATGAAGAGAGGATGAGACTCACCTGAATGTAGTCGCACATAATTCCTAATAGAACCCTAAGCGTGTGCAGAATCTGATAGGACAAGGTGTGGCTGAACTGGACTGGACTGGACTGGCACTTTTTGGTTGTTGGAACCTTGGAAACTTCGAACCGTTCCTGAGACGGGGCGGATCGACTCGTTTATGGAGTTGATATGATGTTCATGTGACTGAAGCTATCAAAATAAACGGGTGAAAAAAATGAAGCGGGAACAATACCCGTTCTTGTACTTGGCGGTCTCCATCATATCCACAATCCAGTTATTGTCTCTCTCCACAACAAACTTCATCAGCCCTACTTCAGAACGCATATGGGCATGGTTGTTGTCGAAGTTGCGAACACGATGTGGTGTCAAAGTGGACACTGGGCTTGCCAGTCAGGCCAGGCCCGGGTATTTTTGCGAAGTTAGGAAGGGTAAGAAAAAGAAACGCAAATGGTTCATGGCAAAAGAAAAACTGCTGTCACGATCCATGACACAAAGCTATAGTTCCAGAGATCGGGAAAAGGAACGTCGGATCAGGTCTTTGCTTGTCAGGTCTTCCCCAAAAAAAAAGACAGTGCTTACTCTCACACTGTAAGAGGATTAGGTGGGAGGGTACGTAAGTACAAGGGTGTAACGCCTGGAGGACTGACCAGTTATTTACTTCAAGATCGCTTAGGTATCTTGGTGTATTTCCAGGGCGCCAACTGGCTTGGCTTCGACCTCAACCCAATCACGAACCCTAGCACACATCCTCTGTTGTGTGTCAACCAGTCAGACAAGCACCACCCGAAAAACGACGAGAATGAAAGCGAAGAAAGCCATCTCCGGACCGAGAGCAACAAATATGATATAACTGATAGAAGACATGGCTCTGATGCACAAGAATACTCATTGTTGCGCTTATCAAAGCCAACAAAAATGCGTACACCGATCATGTCGTCGGGGAAAAAGAAAGGGGGGGGAGTGGTGGGGGGTTGCAACCAAAGTGTATGTTGTAACCGTTGTAGATGTGTACCTAGCGAGGGCTTAGATTCAGGCAATTCGGACTTTCCTACTTGATGTGGTTGAAGGCGTTCTTCCCTTGCTCACAAGCGCTGCCATAGCACCTCTGACAATGCGTTGCAGCTGTGTTGGACACTCGCCAATATTCACTACCTATATGAGTCGCAAATAATGTCACTGTGGATTTCGTCGATGGTGACGTCTCGGTAACAAATGGGATGTAACAGCCCCATTACCACCAACTGAGCCAGATTCGTTGATTTGCACAGTTCAGATATTCCGGTGCTGGAGTTGTGGAAAAAGACGTTGGGAGGCATTTTGTGTGATCATTTTGGTTTTAGCAGTGGTAACCCAAGGACCCCCGGCGTCAAATTCCGGATGTCTACACTCCCGAGCCCGCCACAATTGTAATGGCTAAGGCAGAGACAGCCATATCACATATCACACTCCCGTTTGCAGCCTCTGAAGGGCCGGGATAACAGCGCGGGTAACGGCAATTGGATGGCCTTGTCATGATCGCCGCCCAACGTTCTGATGCTTGCTGTATCAACAAGGAACAGTTGCGCCCAGAAACACCAGATTGGGTACGCTCCGGCTGGGTATGCAACCAAGTCCAGGGTCATGACCCAGCAGCGCGGGATAAGGAAGAAGAAAGAACTGAAAACGCGGGGGCGCTCCTGTTTGTTTCGACAATGCGGGTTTTAAGTCTCAGGCACGCATGTAAAGTGAGGTGAACTCGACGAAGATCGCAGCCTCCTCATGGGCGTAGGACAATCAGCAAAGGGCGCAATTTCGTCGGTGATTCGAATTCCTCTCGGCAAGATTGGCCTCGCAAGTCCGTCAGATATGGTACCCCTGTTTGGCACAAAACGGTTCATGTGCAACGCACATGGTTTAGGTAACGGTTCGAGCGCATTGGGACGTTGAATTCCTGTTTCTAAGCCCACTGCGGAGAAGCCTTTAAGGGAGCGCTGGCTAGGATGACGGCTTCGACGCGTTACAGCGCCCGTGAGGGTCGTTCAATGGACCGCTGGTGCTTGAGCAGCAGCGAGCACAGTCGAGAACAGTGGTTGAGAAGTGATCGTCCGGCCAGCTGGGACATGGGGACATGGGGCAGCCATGACGTATGTACACTGGAGGCAGTCAAGCATGATCCAAGGACAGACCGGAAGTGGACCTAGCGATCCATCCCAGCCGTTGCAGAGTTCAGGCTGTTGCGGAAAGACGGGGCCTGCATGATCGAGCGGGTTGAAACCGGTAGGGTGTGACGGAAACCATGCTGTTGATGTCTCGGGAGGGTGGCTAGAGACGGTGGGCTCGCCGGTCGTCCAACGGGCATGGTTTTAGAATGTCTTGCTTTCCTTTTTCCTTCCTGAGTGGGCTGTTCAGCAACAAGGACAGACCAGAGCCATCAGCCAGGCAGATGCTAGTGTGATAAAAAGCGGGCGCAGGCCGTGTCTCTGTCAAAAATTGAGCTGGGTATCAATATTACCAGGTACCAGGTCTGGTTTGTTTGTCAAGCCACGTGCTACTCTGGGGCCGGAATTTGACCGAGTCAGCTGGCTCCCAGCTATCTGGGTAGGATATCCCATTTGAAATATCGAACGGTGCAATTACCAAGGTGCATTGAAGGCCGTAGCGAGCCGTCAAATGCCAACCAAACGCCCATCGGAAGTGTATATGTACGTGCTCGTCGGTGATGTGCGCGAAGAAAATCCCGTGGACCCGAGGCAGAGTCGATCAGAGGCGTCCGGCTACCGTACACGGCTGAACCATAATTTCGGGTCGGCGGCGCTCTGCAATTTGGCGTCGACGTGGGAGTCGAAATTGGGGGTGGAACTGTTTATGTGGAAGTGGCGAGAAGAAGAGAATGGACGTTGTGGTGATGGGGGAGTTGGGGATGATCTGCAGGCCCGCGGCTCGGGCGTCTGGCACCCAAGCCCGAATGCCGAAGTGACCTTGCCGCTTGACAGTCGGGTGCCTGCTCTTGTGCTGCTCTCACTGCAGGTGGCGCCTGCCAGCGGGCAATCAGTGCAGCCCCAGATGACAGCGGCCCGGTGACAATCACTGGGCGGCGCACCCAAACAACGTTCTGACGTCTCGCACCACCTTCCATCATTTGAAACGCAACCTTGAAACTCAACGGGGAACACAGGACTTTATTTCAACGTCACAAAGGACCCGAGGTGACGCCCAAACGTCGATTCGCTCTTTCATGTCGTTCACCCAAGACAACATCATGTCACTCAACCACCACCACTGACGAGACGACTGTTCTCCGCTCGCCCAGAGCGCCAAAAACAGGATGCACTCAGTCACCAAAACGACCGAGTCAAAGTGTTGTTGAAGGCTTGGTTGACTTGAGTTCCTCTAGGAGGCACAAGAACTTGAATGCCAAATGCGAAAAAGAAAAATGAAGAAAAAAATTAAAACATAAAAAGGAACAACAAGGAAGAACAGCGAAAGAAAAGGCCCCAGCCCACGCAAAGCCAAATATCCGTCAAAATACAAATGGCTGCCTTTCATCCAGTCCTCACTATCACTGGAAACTCGACATCATCTGGCTGTTGTGTGCCTGGACTGTATGCCAGCAACTATCGCCCATCCCCAATCCTGCTCCGGATGAAGCCACTACCTCCACCTAGCCACTCCGACCACCGCCTCCTCCCAAGCTGAACTTCCAAGGACGAAAATCCCGGAATCGTGCCACTTTTGGTTCTTTACTTGGTGCAGGGCTTCCAGGCGAGGTTGATCTGCTGAGTGAAAGCGACGGTGGCATCGTCATCGGTGATCTCGCCGGCAGCGCTGGAGTTGGAGCTGGTTAGCGCGATGCGGTTGTTGACGTTGAGGATACCGTTGGAGCCGCATGGCGAGTAGATGTAGCTGGCAGTCGGGACCTTGTCGGTCTTGGTGTACACCTGGCCCTCGGCCCAGATGCCGCCACCACTGATGGTGGTCTGGGTGGTGGTAGTGTCTGAAGGCGCCTGGCTAAAGTAGTAGGTGCTGAAGAAGGTGCCGGTCACGCCGGGCTCGAGGAAAGCGTAGCCGTGGTACGTGCTCTCGAGTACGGAGAACTGGAAGCCACCGGGGTACTGCGTATCATTAGTTCCTTAACTCGGTCTGTCGCGTCTCAGACATGGTCAAAGTGTTGGATGACATACTTTGAGGTTCAGGTGAAGCTGGCAGTTCTTGGTCCTCTCTGTCGGGTTGTACCCTTTGCCGATGTAGACCTGAAATCTATCGAAGCCAAAGGTGATGACCTTGAATTTTTGTCCAAATTAGTATCGGTCGCCAGACTCGATTTACATACCTGGTAGCCTTCCAGAACAGGGAGGTCAACCACACCGTGTTATTCTACACTGCACGGGTGCCGTTGTTACAACGTACCGTCTTGTCCGGAGAGATACTGGTGGACACGGTGCCTTGCGGGCAGCCGTTGCCGGAGAAGGTGGCGCTGGCGATCTGAATCTGCTTGGGATCCGGAGCATCAGCCCAGCCATCGGGAGAGGGCTGGACAACACCCAAAGGTTTGGCGACAGCGAGAGCGGGAAGGAGGTAGGCGACAGAAAAACGCATTTTGGCTGATTGTCAAAGATGATCGTTGAAAGGGATCAAATTGGTCGCTTGAGATCAGGAAAGATTTGAAGGCTTTGTGGTTTTAGATGGCCGGAGAAGGCTGGAGAAGGCTGCTGTGATGCAGAAGATCAAGTCCATCTTGTCGTGGGATACCGCCGCCCTTTATACTCATGTCGGAGGTGAGCCCGTCTCTTCCTCTTTGGTGTTCTCTGCTGACTTCTTCCTTCTCCTCCTCGCGATCAGCTTCCGGAGACAAGAGGCTCTTGAAAAGCACCATACATGGCATCCCTGGTTTGGCCACTGTAGTGATGCTAACCTGTCGCCAAGAACGCATGACCTTTCGACTATTCGCACCGGT